TTAGTATTTGAACAATTAACAGGAGAATGAAGCATCTTCCGTCAAACTTAATCAAGCATTAGAATTATATAAGCAATACCTCTTCTTTAGGTTTACAAGCCGAATCAAGTCCGCCCAAATCATGTTCCGATAATCTCCTCGATCCCCTTAGAGATTGCCCCTCATTTTCTATATAAATTAACGATCAACAAATCAATCAACACAAAACTAAAAATAAAAGAAAGTCAATGAAGAAATTAGAAATTACTACCTCCTCGATCGTTCTTGCGATCGGACTTGATCTCCGTGATAACCCTCTCTGCCTTCGCCGCGGCCGAATGAAATGCCGTTCTTGCCCTCGAAACGAGAGAAATTGACGACGATGCAGCGGAGGAGGGAGCAGAGTTCTCCATGGAATCGGATTGCGATCGAGCATCGGATGATGGATGAAGCTGCATATTTTTATGTCAAAATTGGATTTTTATTCATTATAATCAAGTGGATGTGGGTTTGGATTGGAGATGAAGATCAGAGAAAATGTTATTTTATTCCTATTTATGATGAAGGTTAGATGGATTTTTGTACGTTAATTACGGTATAATCACCCATAGGAAACGTTTCGGTTGTGTTGACGCCTTGAATTGGAAAGAAAAATTTATGCCCAGCCCCTTTAAGTGATGAGAACTTTTTTTCATGTCCTTTGTGATAAAATGTAAAAGAATAGATATTCTGTCTATTGTATTCTCTTCGGGGCCAACTCCGAGGCTCAGAGGGACTTAGGGCTGTCCAAAAAGCCCGCTGCCCGGGCCCGGACCCGCAAAAATACGACCGGTCCGGACCCGGACCCGGCCCGGAACAGTGCCGGACGGGCCGGTCGCAACGGTCATCAGAGGTGACTGCTGCTGAAAAATGCCGGACCAGGTCGGGTCATCAGAGGTGACCGTTAGGCAGAATTGGCCGCCTAGCCCGGCCTGGTCAAAAATGACCGTTTTGGGTGGGCCGCGCTGGGCTGCTCGGCCCGACCCGGTGAAAAAACTGATGGATCCATCCTTAATGCTACTTCTCATCATTTAGCTATTAGAAATTATTTTTAAACATTATATGATGAGTATACAGCTAGACATGGTGTAGCTGCACAACAGTCTACAAATTCGGCGCCTTCGAGCACGGTCCGAGATAAAAGTATAAGTTTTGATAAGTATGCAATGGTAGCTGAACTAACTGGTGGATCTGGACTTGGATCAACATTAGAGGTTTCTGAAATAGATGAATATTTATATGCTTACTTAGTTAAATGTTAAGGAAATGTTTTAGATTTTTTGCAATGGTGGAGAGTATATGGATCAGTTTCATATCATATACTTTCCACCATGGTTTGTGACTTACTAACAGTGCAAGTTTCGACGGTAGCTTCGGAATCCGCCTTCAGCACAGCAGGACGTTTGATCGACGATCACAGGATATGCTTAGTAGATCTGTATACTGTACAAGCGGTGATGTGCTTACAAGATTGGTGGAGGTACGAGAAGCGAACGCAAGGCATCGATAGGATGACTATAATTGAAGATAAATTTAAAGATTTGGGACTAGCAGATAGGTATAAATATTAGATAATATTCATCAAATTGTAATTTTTATTTCTTAGCATTAAATTTGTAACGAATTATTTCTGAAAAAGTTACAAATGATAGTGATATAGGTGAGTAGGTGTCAACCTAGTTGGAATGTACTTATCTATTGTGATGCGACGAATTCCGAAATAAATTTATACTTGTAAATGATTTACTGATTATTAATAAAGAAGTTAGTTTTATCATCTTTCATTTTTATAATTTTTTGTACTTGTAATTTATGTCATTTTAATTTATTAAAAAAAATTATGTTATTTTCTGTAATTTTTATATATATTTTATGATTTATGGGGATTTTTAAAAAACCAAAAAAACCAGCCCGGTCCGGGCCAACCGGTCCCGGGTCCGGGCTTCGGTTTTGTCTGGCCCGGCCCGGATGGATAGCCCTAGAGGGACTGCGTCAAGGGATTTTTTTTAAAAAAAGATCTTTTTTGCTAAATAATTAGCAAAATCGATCATTTTGCTATTTTTTAGCAAAATTGTCCTTTTTAGCCAACAGACCGAAAAGATGTCGATTTTAAAAAACAAGTTGCTAAAAACATACATGATTAGTAGTCTCGTTTGTTTTCATTTTAAAATCTTCTCACTTAATAAACTCATTCTCTCCTTCCTTCTTCTTGATCCCCAACGCCGCCCTCCGGTCATGGGGACCAGGGCGTGCAGGAGCTTCGGAGTGCAGAGGGAGACTCTGAGCTCGTTATTCTCTCGTCGACTGCCTGATGGCTTGGAGGCCGGATTCTTTGGTGGAAAGCTGAGGGCTTTTGAGCTTGGTCAAGATTTGGTCTCCTCATAGACTTCAGTGGGGATTTGGGGGTCTTGGACTCGTCCAGGGAGGAGGAGGAGGAGGAGGAGGAGGCAGGTTAAGGCCGGTTGAGGTTGACCATCTCGTCGGATGAGGAAAGGAGGAGCCGAGGAGGGAGGAAGGAGGAGAGGAGGAGGAGGAGGAGCAACGAGGTCAGGAAGAAGGGAGGACTGAGATGGGTTTTTCTTGTTTAGAGTTTTGGAGGGGAGACCACAGATGGCCCTCAGTCAACTGACAAAAGCCAAACCTAAAGCTAGTCCACCACCTCCTCTCCCAGCCCCTCCTCCCCTCGTTCCTTGGGCTGGTTGCTAGAACCGATCAGACTATGAACAACAGCTCGGACGGACCGCGACGAGATGGGCGGAGGGCGGGGCATCGAGACACGGTCGCAAAAGTCGACGATGGCGTCTCGAAGGGCGGCGTTGCCGCATTGGGGATCAAGAAGATGGAAGGAGAGGATGGGTTTATTAAGTGAGAAGATTTTAAGATGAAAACATACGAGAGTACTAGTCCCGTATGTTTTTTAAAATCGACCTCTTTTTGGCCTGTTGGTCAAAAAGAAATCGATTTTGCTAATTATTTAACAAAAATTGTTTTTTTTTAATTCCCCTGCATCAACACTCAGGGAGGATTAATTTAATATTCTTCATTAAAATAAAATTTTGAAAACTATTATTTGTCTTATTCGTGACTGCTTGGTTCAGCCGAGGACCTAGAAAATTATTTTTCAAATGATATTCTTACTGAATTAGTATGAGATGATACACGCACGACCTACCTACGAATCTACGATCAAAAGAAAACGGATGTTCATAACCTGATATTTTTACTAGCAAATCTTGCTTTATATTAATTTTGAAACAAATATTGCAACTCTCTCTATTGATATATTTTCTTGATTAATCCTTTAGTCTTCATATTTCATTAATCAGAAAAAGGACTATTTCTGGTCGAAGTACTTGTTTAGATGACAAATATGATTGAGCAAATCATAATTGCTTAAAATAACATCATTTTCTGTAAATATATAAAAAGTTCATTCTTACGTCTAGGACGAGGCCAGGCATCATGAATATGACATTCGTCTCTATTTTTTTGAAAGGTTCTAATATTTTAAACATCTGACTCAGTCACAAATTAGAAAGATTCCACAAACAATAATGCTGTTGATGCTAAGTGGACGACAGCGTGATACTGACCAAACAACATATGGATAAATTTAGCATGAAATTTGGATATTATGTTGTTTCTTTCGGTGTTGGAGAAAACACTTCAGCATCTCCAACAGCTTTCCTATTTTATTGGTATTCTTACTTTTGAAGAATTTTGGGTTTTTTTTCCCAACAGATTCTCCATCTCATTCCGCAAAATAGGGATGGAGGAGAAAAAAAGGAGAGCCTTCCCCAAATCTGTAGCATTCTTCAAATTTTTGGGGAGAGCTTTGTCATAAATGTTTTGTTGTGCGCAGCGGAAATTTCGGCAGAGTTTCTGGTGCACAATAAGAGAGAAAGATCGATATAAGAATTCCCGTCTCACCAATGAGACAAGAATCTGAAGCGGATATCTCAACCAAGTGAGATATCGGCTCTTCCTCTCATCAGTTCTAGGACTGACCTGTCGAGGGATCCTAAAACTATTACAATGGCCACAAACTCAAACAACCAATTTTTACGTGGTTCGGCAAACTGCCTACGTCCACGGGGCAAGGAGGGGGGAGATCTACTATTAGAGGGAGATAATACAACTAGGGTTTACAACCACTCAATCTAAACCCTCACACAATTATCTCTCTCAAAAGCCTCACACAAAAATACAGCCGTCAACACCCAAGAACAGCCACCAAACAAGCCAAAGAACAGCCTACTTCTGCGTTCTCCTGTTTGCACTTGTTCTCTGCCTTTGAACAACTCTGCAGGCCGCCTCTTTGATTTCTCCCCTCTGCTTCCGCGTCCAAATCAGCCCCTTGCTTGCACTTTTCCCTTTGCCCGTTGTTCCTTTGCACCCTGCCACACGAAAACCTAGGAAAGGCATTTATAGGGCTCAAACACGTCTTCGCATGTGGAATTCTTTTGTCCGCTGGATTCGATCTCTTCACGCGGCATGTGGAATCCTTTTGTCCGCTGACCTCTTATCTGCTGGACAAGCATACCGCCAACAATTCTCCACCTCGGCGAAGTTTTTTTTCAAAACTGAACCGACACCAACCAAACCAAATGTCTCACTTGTTGTGTCCAGTACGAAGTGAAACAATTCACGACAACGGACTCAATCCATAACAAGTCGAGAATCCAAATGAGAATGTGACCACTCTCCAAACGTCGGTATCTACTCACCAAATCGATCTCACCCCGTCAAAATCCAACCCGGCTGCATCGTAAAGACTGCCTACGTATCCTCTTGCCCAAGGAATCAAGCCGAACGTAGTTCACCCAATGGCCGCGAACGACCTCAAACCAATAGAAGAGTTCGCAACCCTTCTCCAATATCATCAACTCTGCGGCTGATAGCACCTCCAATGGCCTCAAACACCTCCACCTGAGGTGAACCAATGGTCATATCCAAACTGCATCTATCAGCTGAATCCAAATGACTTCCACGCTGTGTCACCTCAGCTGGAATCCCAACCAATGCAGAATGACCTGGAGTATGTGGGAAAATCCCCACCCAATATGGAGTAGCATCAGTCTCCACCCGCTGCGATACCTCTAAGGTCTGTCCAAAACTCTCTACCTGCTGAGAGTCAATTGGCTCCCTCATCGAAGCCTCAACCAAAGTGACATTACCAGACCTATATTCTAATGGAGTTTTACCTCCAATCACAGCAGTTGACAACTCTTTAATAGGATGACCCAAATATGTCGAAACCTCTGTCCAGAAACTCTTCTGCAGACCATTGCTTGACAACAAACACCGATCCTCCTCCAGCAAGGCACGGTTTTCCAAATTTGTCACCATATATAGTTGCCCCAAGATTTCCTTTCCAACGAAGTGTCTCGAAATGCCGTGAGCTCGGCTCCAATACAGAAATAGGTCCATCTTGTACCTCCCACCAGAATGGAGTACCTTCACCTTTCTGTCTATTACACACTTCTTCAATCTGTTGGATACTACTAGGACTTTCTCCAAAGGGGATTTGGTTGCAACCCAAACACGCCTAGAACAACCACCAACAAAGAAAACCAAACGCCTATTACCTCCCAATGATGCCCCCTTGGAAGGCCCCCAAACATCCACGTGAACTCCTCCAGAACGACCCTTAGCACGGTGAATAGAGGTACCACACTTCACCTCGGTCTTCTTGCTCACATCAACATGTTCACTGGACTTCAAACTGCAGGTCTTTACACCCTCTTTCAATACGGGAAGGGCCAAGCCCCAAATGCCGCAGTCTAGTCGAATCAACAGAAGTCGTCAGCTCTCCACCTGTCACTATACCTCCAGTCAAGTAATACAGGTTATTCCTCCTGACGCCCTTCATCAAAATACGAGAGTCTCTCGCAATCTCGAGAACCATGTCCTCAACACGAACCTTCAGACCCTCTCCAACCAAAGCTCCAATCGAGATCAAGTTCTTCCTCAAAGAAGGAACATATCTCACATCGTTTAACTCTCTAACAGTCCCGTCAAACATCTTTATGCGAATTCTTCCTATCCCAAGGATCTGGCATGCACGGTTATCAGCCATGTACACCACACCACTATCCACCAGCTTCTCAAAACTGGAGAACCATTCCCTTCTAGGGCACACATGATAGGTCGCACCACTATCCAACATCCATTCAGATTCCTCCGAATAGCTATCTGTAGGACTGATAGAAAGCGAATAAATAGAAGAGTCAGAATTATTACCATCCGATACGATGTTTGCTTCTGATGATGGTTGCTTCCCTTTTCCCTTCTGCTTATTCTTCATCCATTCGTCGAGCTTTGGGCAGTCTTTCTTCCAATGACCAGTCTCCTTGCACCAAGCACACTGATCTTTTCCTACTCTAGACTGTGACTTCTAATTCTTTCGAGTGATGCCTTCCCATTAATCAGAGTAAGAACGAAGGTCTCATATTCCTCGTCGGGCAAGGAACTCAACAACAGCAACGCCTTGTCCTCATCTTCAATCTTGACATCCACATTCGCCAAATCCGCAAGAAGCTTTGTGTAGTGGTTCATGTGATCTCTAATGGAGGTTCCCTTCTTCAACTGGAAACGATAAAGTCTCCTCTTCAAATGCAAGCGATTTTCCACACTCTTGGTCAAATACTTGCTTTCGAGAATCTCCCAAATCTTCTTCGCAGAAGTCTCATTCATCACATCATATTTTAGATCTTGAGTCAAACAAGACCTAATCACACCACACGCCGTTCGATTCATCTTCTTCCAAACCTTCTCTTCAACGTCATCTGGCTTGCCATCTAACTCCAATGTATCCTCCAAATTCTGCGCGTTCAGCGCATCCAAAACCTCGCATCTCCATAATCCAAAGTTGTTTGTGCCATTAAATTTCTCCACATCTATCTTCATAGAGTGGATATTCAAACTCTGAATAGTCTTCACGCCAGAAGAACCACCCTCGACACCCGAAGCACCTTCTTTCCCCGACATCTTACGCACCAACGAACAAAGAATAGATCCAAAACTAAAAAGATAGAGTCTTTACCAAAAGATCTCACCTTTATCACCAACGAAGCCCTAAACGAGCCTCCAAATTGATCTACTCCTCCAACCAAACCCTAGATCTGGAACCTGGGCTCTGATACCACTTGTTGTGCGCAGCGGAAATTTCGGCAGAGTTTCTGGTGCATAATAAGAGAGAAAGATCGATATAAGAATTCCCGTCTCACCAAGGAGACAAGAATCTGAAGCGGATATCTCAACCAAGTGAGATATCGGCTCCTCCTCTCATCAGTTCTCGGACTGACCTGTCGAGGGATCCTAAAACTATTACAATGGCCACAAACTCAAACAACCAATTTTTACGTGGTTCGGCAAACTGCCTACGTCCACGGGGCAAGGAGGGGGAAATCTACTATTAAAGAGAAAAAGAATACAATGGGTTTACTCTCAAAAGCCTCACACAAAAATACAGCCGTCAACACCCAAGAACAGCCACCAAACAAGCCAAAGAACAGCCTACTTCTGCGTTCTCCTGTTTGCACTTGTTCTCTGCCTTTGAACAGCTCTGCAGGCCGCCTCTTTGATTTCTCCCCTCTGCTTCCGCGTCCAAATCAGCCCCTTGCTTGCACTTTTCCCTTTGCCCGCTGCTCCTTTGCACCCTGCCACACGAAAACCTAGGAAAGGCATTTATAGGGCTCAAACACGTCTTCGCATGTGGAATTCTTTTGTCCGCTGGATTCGATCTCTTCACGCGGCATGTGGAATCCTTTTGTCCGCTGACCTCTTATCTGCTGGACAAGCATACCGCCAACATGTTTCACGTACTTCAAGTCTACAACTACTCAAAAAACGACTCAACACTATAAAATGAGAGGGCAAAAAACAAAAAGTTCATGTCTAAATTTTTATTGTTAAAGTTCATGTCAAAAATGTAGAATATTTTTATTATTGTAATAAATGCAAGATTCTTCAAAATGGGGAAGTTGTTGGAGTTGGAGCAAAAATAATTTGGAGAATATGACTTTTGCTTCCTCATTTTGGAGAAATTTTTGGGGAAGCTGTTGGAGATGCAATTCATTTATATGTTGGATTATTGTAATTAGCTCCAAATAATATTACCCCCTCTCTCCTCCTATGAACCACATTTCGTTTCTGTTTTAACTCAAAAAAATTCATAATTGCTTGTAAAGTAATTAATAAAAAGATTGTCCTTTTGAAGGAGTAGGACCCCTTGTAAGTAATTAACCCAAAATCTAATGAAGATTTATTAACAGGATTCGATGGTCCTGTCCCATAGATCTAGTACTCCTGCAAAATTGATGCCTAGACGCTGCAGAAAAAATATGGTAAAAGATTTAAAACAGGACCTTTACTGGAGTAACATCTGAGTATTTGCAATAAGACCAGAAGTAAGCATAGCCTAAGTATTTCTGACAAATAATAATGAATATAATCCAAGAAAATCACTAGTACACGATAAATGAGTAAAACAATACTCTGAAAAATCCACGAAATAATCATAAACTTAAAATTGAACAGGAATGAAGTTCCCACAGAAGCTTTGAGCTAAAGCTTTTTCTCTAGCAAGAAATTAAGAGTCACCCTCTCGTGACAAAAATCGAACGCCTGATAAGAATATCAGAGCGGCCTAGTTCTGCGACCGGAAGCCCTCCCACAGAGTAGCGCATTCTTGGGTATGGGATACTCATCCCTCAAAGAATTTGCTGGAGAAAAAACACGGAGATAAAACTGCTGACCGAGGTACTGCCTTGCCCAGTTCTCCGATCTTATGTTCCACATGCCCACGTTATCCAATGGCATATAGATGGCTGTCCATGATTTCGGGTATACCTGATATAAATTCAAGAATGATCATGTGAGATATGATGATTTTGCTTCGGAGAATTTTATTTAAACAAAAAAATAAAGACCCTTTTTCAAAAACAATTAGCAAAATCAAATGTTTCGTAAAATTATTAGCAAAATCGAAAATCGACCTCTTTTCTAAAAAGAGGCCGACTCCGTGAAAATTCAGCTTTAAAATACACTGGGCTAGCAGTCCCGTGTATTTAGTTCTCATTAATTAAATATTAAGCATTTCAGCATAAAGTACGCTGATTATGCGGGACTATTAGCCTCGTGTATTTTAAAGTCAGTATTTTGACTTGGCCAAAAAAAATCAATTTTGCTAATATTTTCATAAAAGGGCCGGTTTTGCTTATTAGTTTCAAAAAAATAATTCTATTTCAGCTTTTGATGGGATTAAAAGGGTTGTGTTGCCATTTATACTCGGTTAATTTTGGAAATGTTGAAATATGTAATGTTAGAATCTACTACAATTTTTTGTTGGCAAATGGCAATAATTGATTAGGTGATTTCTCTTGAACGTGAAGGAGACGGCACAAAAGCAAAGTGATGGAAACAGGTGTTTCTAGTTTGTTTCTCATATATGATATGATTTCGGAGCTTGCTGTAAACTTGATGATTAATGAGTTTGAATAAAATATTGGACTCGTCAAAGCGACAATTTTTTTTTAATAAACCACAATAACTAACGACTTTGGTAGAACGTAAAATACCTGAACAGTACAACGAGAAACTGCATCTCTCAAGTTGTAACTATTCCTGCTTGATGATCTCCATTGACCTCCATCCATTCTGTACATTTCCAATTAGCTTTAATCAGAGAGGGCAAAAACTAAAGGGAAACAAACTTCAAATTTTCTCTCTTTTTATCATTTGAATTAATTTTCTTACCCGACGACCCAGAAAGAATAACCATCAATATGCCAAGACTGAACTGAATCTTCATAGTTCTCAAAGATAATCTCTACATAATCCCTAAAATTCGCTGCCATGACTGGAGTTCCGAGATAACCACCGCCAAAAGTTGGGTTATCAGGAATGCTTCCAAGCGAGAAAACTCCCTGTATCTTGAAGTAGTCTGCGAGTTTGAGTGGAGTATCAGCTTGAACGAAGGATACACTGTTAACCGCGTATCTCTGCTTTCCATTGATTATTGGAGCAGAATTTGCGAGCCTAATTGTTCTTACGGGTTTGATCATCCCATAGTGATAGGAACCTTGTGGGTTTGGTCTAGGACCACTTGCAGTCAGATTCCATCTGTTTTTGGGGCAAAACAATTTAGTCAAAGAAAGTAACACAGTGAATTTGCGTTCTAAGAATTGAGAACTCAATAAGTTCAGCAAAAAGAAACCATAAGAACAAAAACATTGTCAATGCATAATATTTGTATGCTAATACGAATGAGCAATGCTTCAATGCAAGTAATTAAGTAACCCAAAGAACCTAAGAAAGTATGTTTTTAGGGCTAATGGCACATGGAGCTTCTGGAATGTCGTAGTCCTGCACTTAGTACCCCTATAGTTTCATTGTTGCGGATAGCCTGCTAAGGTCATTTTATACTCTTTTACCGTTGGTAAAATTTTGGCAGATATTCCCCTTGGGTGAAATTAATGAATCTATCTGAGGGCAAAATAGTCAAAAAATAATAATAATCCAAGGACTCCATCTGCAAATGGAAATACAGGGATAGTAATTCAAAACGGTGAAACTACAGGGGGTTTATGTCCAATTAACCCATTTTCTGACATTTAGCAAAGTGAAGGGAGTCATATGCTTCGTATTTGGATTCAATAACTCATTGTACTCATCAAATAGAAACCATAAGATAATGCATCCACAATGCACCACATATGTTGCTAGTAAAAATGTACAGAACTTCAATTCAAGTGAAACCAAGAAAAATATTTCTCAACACTCAACAAAGTGAAGAGAGCAATATACTATCTATCTAAAGAATCGAGAACTCATCAAGGTCATCAAACAGAAACCACAAGAAAATACAATCACAAAGCATTATGTTCTGCTAGTATTGAATTTGCAATACTTCTAATGCAAGTAACCATCAGAAAATATTTCATCAAACCTACTATCCCGAAGGAAATATTTTGGATATAATACCTGATTGATCTTGCTTGGTTAAGACCCCAAGCAACTTGAATAGTTGGGCCACCTGGAGGAGCACCAATGGGTTTGCTCCAAGAGTTTTTGTAGTGAAGGATCGAGGTGGTGGTGAGCGTTGGTCTACTGAATCTAGTGGAAGCCACAATGTAATAATCACGTGGAGGTTGATTAGCCATTACAAGAACTGAGTAAGTCTGGCCTAAACATATATCGAGAGCAGCATAGCTGGTCTGTACAGTATGAGAGCCTTCCACTTCGACAAGCTTCATAATGTGACCTTGAAATCTTATGTTGATACAGTTCATCAGTCCTACGTTAGATATTCTAAATCTGTATGTTTTACCTGAAAAGAAATTTAACAGATACAATAGCTACTTAGATCAACATGACACGTTCCATCAATGGAAATATTTGCATCAGGTTCAATACCTAACCAAAAATTGTGCAGGGTCATGGCACATCATGGAAATGCAAAAAAAAACTGCAGTTTATCTTAAATCATAACTTAAGAACACTAGATTCACCTTGTTCAACTGTGAATGTATTCCCATTCCATCCCCTGCCATTCATAAGAAGCCCATCAGGGGAAGGAAGGTTTTTTCCATTGTCTAGCATCCATTTCAAAGACTGCAAAAGATGAAAAGTAATACCATATGAGGCTATGGTTGTCGAAATATGGGTTAATTGCAGATACAAAAACCTTACACTACGAGTGTTATAGCCACTTATATCTCTCAAAACTATTTTATTAACAATTGAACTCTAGAAAGTGATCCCAATCGGTTGAGATGTCATGTCAGAGTCACGTGACGATGCACTTATGTTTTGACTTCAAGATAACTAAAAAATGACTAAAAATGAAACAAGAATAGAATTATGATCATCAACCCTCGTTCAATTTCAGGGTTTTGGTGCTGCCGCAGAATCAGGGTAACAAAGCAATCTAGGCTCAAATTTTACTGGCTATGGATCTGTAGAGAGCACAAATTATTACCGCGTGGCTTTTAAGAGGTGTAAGCTAGTGCTAACGAAATAGTTAAGCATGTGTATCTGCAACTAAGTCATAATATTCATTTGTAATCCTAAATCTTCTGAACCTTAAAAGCAACTGATGTGGAATTGTGATGCCTTACATTGTGGTTAGCCTTGTACCAGTCGCCGACTAGCAAAGTGAAGTCACCAGCAGGAGGAGGGAAAGGCACCGGAATCCTCGGGCGGCTAAGAATCCTGATACCACCAAATCCTCCCGCTGCCTTGTGGAATGCAAGGGAAGGGAAGTAGAAGTAGCTGCCGATTTGGTCCTTCACCTGAAGAATATACGTGAAGTTTCTTCTTGGTGGAATCGGACAATTTGTGCCAGCGACTCCATCTTCCCACGAGTTTTTCCTCTGTAGCAGTCCATTCCTGAGTGATAATGTGACAATAAGTGGGAAATTTTAACTAGTGCGAACTTTGAAGATTTTTAAGATAAATTAGAAAAATTCCCCAAAACCGAAAATATGGGACCAAGGGACATGTGGGTGTCCCCCTCCTATCGCATAACCAGCTCATTATGCGATAAGAGGGGACACCTCATATGTCTCCCTTACTGGTCCCTTATTTTGGGTCAGAGCTCGATAAATTAATATAAACTGTTGCTTGTTGCTTCGTTAAAGACCTTGGAAAAATAAGAATGCTTAATTACTTTATCATGACTCTTTATCTTCTAGTATTGGTAGTGAAAGGGCAAAGTTATGTCAAACTTCTTTCGAAGCATCATTAAGCTTGTAAACCTTTGGAATACAACCTGAATTGTTATTGCTTATGATCTGTTCAGAATTGTGGCTCTATAACTAGCTTCGTTTGTTTTCCTCAGAAAAAAAACTAGCTTCGTTAATTCGCTGGGAAAAGCCTTAGATGATATTACTTATAATGGCCATAGTAATGACTTTCAACTTAATAAAACCAAAATGTTGGTGTTTTCTATTCTATTATCACGTGATACAACATTACATTTTCCATGTGAAAATGAAATTTTTTTTTACATAAAGATAGCTGTCTAAAAGACTGAAGAAAACACTGGCCGTACCTAGCAAATGGACAGAAGCTATGACCTGAGCCTATATAAATCTTCGGTTTTTCTATAGAGTGCCCTTGGGCACTCTATAAGAGAGGAGAGAGATAGAGAGAAATGAATGAGGAGGGGCCCCCCTGATTTGCATTGGGATCCTCTCTTCATTCATTTCTCTCTATCTCTTTCTTCTTTTATAGAGTGCCCAAGGGCACTCTATAGAAAAACCGATAAATCTTTTCGAAATGGGCAGAAGCTATGATTGACTCCTGAATTGGTTGTAAATTTGTCATCGACAATATAAATTAACAATAATTCAGTAGATCTAAATCTGGATTCTGCTATTATACAGCCTCGCCTAGGCTACAAATGCTACCCTCCCAGAGGCATCCAACTTTAACTCCGACCCAAACTCTGTGCACGTGTTAAGATATTAAACCAGGTAACAAGTTTAGGCCCAAATTTATCCGGCCCATGACGCACCTCAGCAAGCCACATAGAGATCTAAGTCCACCCAAGCTGGGTCCCACATACCCGGACCGGTCGGACCACTCTGAATGAACCACGTCGGTGACACCCTCGAACCAATCACTCCCTCCGACCAAAAAGCAAAACGCCGGTCAGATTCTCTCCCCTCCCCATTATTTTATTAATTATTTTTTTCTCTCACGGCTTTTGTTTGCTTGCGGATCCAACAAAACGAAAAAGCTAGTTCCGAAAAGAGAGAACACGACAACTGTAATAGTAAAACTCAAATTACAGCAGTTAATCTTTCATTTAACTAATTAACCAAACATTAGAGAACTAACCAAGAGATGAGGAATGGCTCGCTGAGGCCGTTGTAGACGTTGATGATAAGATTATCGTTGGTGACCGCCTCAACCTGAGGCCCAGGGAACTGCCCGTTAATCAAAATACCCTGCAACAAAAATTACGTTACATTTTCTGTCAATATTTATTTTTAGTTTACAAAAAAAAAAGAAAAATACAAGTTGGAGAAATTTACCTGTTGCTTGACGCCCATAGGCCAAATGTTGCCATAAGTGACCCTCCAGTTGAAGAACCGGTAGGGGTCTTCGGCCGTGGAAACGGAGATTAGGAGGCAGAGGAATGAGGCCAAGATAAATCTCTTTGCTTCCATTTTTAGTAAAAGAAAACTTTACTAAAAGAGGAGATTCAAGAATGGTTTAAATGGAGAAGGGGGAGAGGGTCAGATCTATGGATGCATTGTGAGAGAGAAACAGAAAGAGTGGGGGGGCACTTATACGTGGAGTGGGGGCTTGGGTTTACTAACTTTTAATTGATCCAAAGGGGTTCCTTTAATGTGATGAGCTGGAAATATAGGCAAAGCCCAGGATCTAGGCGGGGTCAAAGCATGCTTGTGTTTAGTTATTGGGGTAAGTCAAATCTTGAAACTTATTATCCGTTTTCATCGTATAAAGTAGATATTAAAGTTACATGAAAATAAATTCAGAAGGTTAAAACTAAAGATGTGTTGGGTTGTGACTCAAATATTCAATCTGGTATTTTTAGTCGAGACTACAGTCAATAGGAGTCCTTTATCTGGTGGGAGTGTGGAATAATTATATGAATTCAAATTTCTATTTTGACAAGGATAAACAATTCATAATCCTACTTGGACTCTTACTCGGCTTTAGAACATGTGAACTTCTATTCCAATTAGAACTCTTATACCAAGGAAAGCAAGGAGTTTGGCTCTCCAAGTCTTTCAAGCCAATTACGATTATCAATCTACAGAGCACCAATAATAAAAGAGAGCTTTTTGTGAAGCCTATTTGATACTTTTCTCTTTTGTTCTTTTAGTCAAGAGATTGTATTAGATTTTTAGTGTGTGATTTAGAATTAAGTGATTGAGAGATCACCACATTGTACTCATCACAATTTAATAAAGTTATTCTGCTCCTTCAGTCATGAAAGTAGGCTACAAGCCGAACCGCGTATATCTTTGTGTTTGTGTGTTCTCGATATTTTTTATGCTCTCGTGTGATTGATATTAGTTTATATTGGGGATTTGTCATAACAAGATGGATTACAATTTATTGAATAAGAAAGTAGTGAAATATTTCAGATGATAGGTCTTGTTATGTAATGCAAATGACTAAGTATTAATCCTTGACGATGAGCCGACATGTGTCCCACCTTAACCGAACGCTAAATCAGCCACACTTTATGAAAGGACGACTCGAACGACGTTAGCACTCAATCCTTTGTAACAAAGGCCAAGTCGAAAGGCGTCCTCACTCGACTTACATGTCAAATCGATCCCACTCCTCTTCATTCTACAAGGCTGGGTTGACAACTTTCGAGACCGATTAAAAAGGTAGTACTTATCGACTCACTCGCAAGATCGAGACGAGAGACGCCACTTGTCGACCCTCTAGGAGAGACAAGCTGAAATACGGTATCTCATCGGGCCCCACGTCGACAGTCAATTGTGATCACATTAAATGCATGATCAAAGTCATCATTTCTCTTGGCCCGAAAGTCTTTATGACTCATTGGACCTCGTCAATACTATGCACACCCAATCAACCTCACATTAAACGCTTAGGTGACTCATCCTCTTCTATAGCTGACACCTGTAAAGTCGATACTGATTAAGCTGCCTGCTTGGATTCGACCGAAGTTACCTATCTTCCCTTGAATTTGCTATAAAAGGAAATTGTTATCTTTTGCTGAGGGGTAAGCAAACTCTTGCTAAAAATACACACTATCTCTATACTTCTCTACTCAAGCTTATTACTGACTTGATCATCAGAGTCGCCACCGGAGATCCTAACTTCAACCCTCTCACGTGTTGTTCATGTGTAGGAGGGAAATCGTTGTTCAGAGCCTAACTGTCTAACAAAGATTGATGACTCTAATACCCTACCAAACCCTTACTTAACTTCCTGTTAGATAACTGATATTAACATGTTTGAATAGATTGAAAAAGAAAAAAAGAGAATGAGAGTGACAAAATATATTGTGTTGATATGTGTGTCAATAAAATATACCAATCTGATAATTTTGTCTTATATGAGATAAAAAGAGGAAAGTAAATGAAAGTAAATTTCCAAATAAAATAATTTGGATAATTTATCCTTAATACAAAAGAAAATAGAGATTTTTTCAGTTGCGTGAGTACCTAAATCATATTTTACTATTTTTTTCCCTCGATAAAATGAAGGGGACCATATTCACGAGCGTCGAACGGACGAGTCGCGCTCACACGCAAGTTTAACCGGCCAGAAAAAAACAATAACGTGAATCAGTCTTTGAAAACCGTGCTTAATTGCGACTTGATTTTATCAATTTGAACTTTAAATCAAAGTTTGGAGTGTATTTTGTTGGCAGCGAGGAGGCAGAGTCATGTGCCTGGTGGCTGATGTCATGTTTTATGGTAAGGAGTAATCAATTTCGAACATAAACACATGCGCGTGAACTACGCATATAGCCATTACTAGCTCAGTGGGCTGTGGGCCTGTGGTCCAACCTCATTCTCATTTAATAACTAAGGCTTCGTTTGAATATTGTGATGTTTTATTTGTTTCCATGGTCTTCTTGTTAAAAATAAAACGTTATACGTTTAGAAATCATAGTATTTTTTAAGCTAAATCATCCTAAAATTAAAACCATGACACTTATTTTAAAACATCTTTTAAGTGTTTTAAGTTTGGTATTTTGATTTTGAATTTGATAAGGTGTTAATATAATATCATACATAATATATTAAATAGAATTAATATATAGTTATGTTGATATTAAATAATCAAACAGATAATATAGTGGGTGTGAGGTTGATTAGGGGGCCACTCGCTTCTCTGAATATTTGGTTTTAAGTTAAACACCTTCAGCCTGCACAAATAGCAACTCGTGAGAGGACAGTGACTAGTTCCCTCGTGATTCCTCTGACGATCAAGTCAGTTGACGGACTTGAGTGGAAAAATAAATAACTGTGTGAGTTCTAAAGTATAGTGCAGTATAATTTGCAGATATTGCTTGGAAAAATCATCCCCCCCTCGATATTGAGAATAGTACCTCTATTTATAGTGGTGGAAAAAGGGTAGAATAGTAATTTTGACCGAGCACAGGATGACGACAAATGAGTATAGCTTGGCGGCTACGTCAGCACCTACTTTACAGGTGTCGGCTGACGAGTGGAGGAGAGATCACCTTCAGCATTTTAATGTGAAGTGATTGGGGGCATGCAGTGCCGTCGTGGCTCGATGAGTCATGAAGACTATCGGGGCTAGAGGTATAGTGGCATCTGTCAAGCATTAAATGTGACGTCGACAAGTTGTCAGCGGGGGAGCTTCGAAGTTGAAGTCAACTTTTGGATTGGCCGAGAAGTAACACACTTCGAGTCGACCCCGCAATGCGTCAAATAACTGATCGAGTGGGCTTGTAGCGAGTCATCTTCTGACAAGAGAACCGACAAGTACCGATCTTCGAGTCGACCTAAGGAGATGTCGACTTGGTGAGTCGGTAAGTCGGGATTCTTGGGCCTGACAGTCAATTTGGTTTGAGCGGTGCATGTAGGGGGACACCTGTCCGTTCTGGCAAAGGGTCGTAATTTGGCGATTGAAAATACCATAACAAGTTACTATCGACATGCTTATTATATTATATTATATTATACTATACTATATTATAGTTAGTCTAATATATTAGTAATATTTATTAAATAATATAAAAACATAATAATTAAAATATCTTATATATTAATATAATAACATATTAAATATTCAAATATATTATATATAATATAATAACATATTTGATAATGTACTATAAAATAATAAATAGTAATATAATATAAATAAACTAATAAAAAATAATAAAAATGTTATTGATAATAAATAATAACATAATAATATAATAATATACTATACAATATTATAATCGCAATAATGTTATTCGCTCTTTAATAAAAATTTGTAATAAATTAATAGTTATAAGATATTATATAATAGTAACATATATAATAAAAAAACAATAGTATAATGATAATATAATAATAAAATTTAGTATTGTGAATGTAATATAATCTATAAAATATTAATATATTACATAATAAATGATATAATATTTTATATAATAAATAATATATTATATTATAAAGTAAAATAAATTTTACATTATTATAAAAATATTAATATAATATATAACAATAACAAATTGATATGCCAAAATAAATAAATAAATTATTATTTGAAAGTAATATATTAATAATTATAATATAATATAACACATTAAAATACAATATATTATTCGAATACATTATACAATATTATATTGTGTTATATTTAATATTATAGTAATATAATAATGTAAAATAAATATTATAATATTTATTTATAATATATTTTTGTATAATTAATATATAAAACATTAATAATATGTTTAATACTAATGTTGTAATGCGGTAAATTTGTGTTGACAAAAAACACTCAACATTTTATTTTCAAAACAATTCAAGGGGAAAACACAACAACATGATGTTTTTTTAGAAAAGCATAACAAAGAAAACACTACTTTATCCAAACGAAGCCTAACCAAATCACCATGGTTTTGATGCACATAGTTTATTCTCATTTCTAATCAAGAGGAATCCGTAGCATGCTTAGCAAATGGTCAAAATGACTTATAAGCTATTTTGAGATGCTTAATAAATAGCTTATTTCAATTTATAACCCATCAAAAAATAAACTAGTGTGTCCTATTTTTTTCCTTATATCGCAACTTATATTTCGATGGCTCATAAGCCATGGAATTTGACCAAGTAAAAGTCAATTGTATCCCTTATGATTTCACAAAATTAAATGTCTTGTTTAATAATTCACACTAATTGCCTTGTCTTTTTAGTTACTAGATTTTATGCACGTGCAATGCACGTGGTTAAATATTGTGATTAAGTATTTTTGGTTTATTTTCTTACTAACATTTGTTTCTCGATTACTCTTTGATAAATTTTGCTCACTTTGATTAAGTATTTTTAGTTTATTTTCTTACTAAAATTTGTTCCTCGATTACACTTTGATTATTTATTTCTTTGATGTTTATTTGAATAGGCTACACCCAGTTAAAATTTTTATGTTGATAGTTAAATTATCAGGAGATAATATAATCTAAAGCTAATTTAAATTTTCATTTCATTTGGATCGACATGAAACCGAGCTTGACTTAAGGAAGTATAGTGTTATGAAAGTGAAAACATTTGAAAAAAATAACATTATAAAAGGAAGATAAATAATAAATCCAACGAGTCAAGATGATTGAT